GACCTTGGCGGTGTTCACAGAGTCTGCGGTGTACATAAGAATCTTCGTGTACACTGTTGCCACGCGATGTGGTGCACACAGTGCTGTGGTGTACACAAGCATTGTGTTGTACACAGGCGTTATAATGCATACAAGAACGTTTTTGATGATGCTGATGCTGCTGCTGCTGCTGCTGCTGATGGTGGTGATGATGAAGATGATGATGATGATGATGATGATGATGATGATGATGATGATGGTGCTGATGATGGTGCTGATGATGATGATGATGATGATGATGATGATGGTGCTGATGATGGTGCTGATGATGCTGATGATGATGATGATGATGATGATGATGATGATGATGATGATGATGATGATGATGATGATGATGATGATGATGATGATGATGGGGGTGGTGGTGATGATCATGATGGCGATGGTGATGGTGATTAGGATCTGACGACGATGATTCTGATGATGACGACGACCACCACCACCACGACCAAGACGGCCACGACGGCGACGGCGGCGACGACGACGGCGGCGGCGGTGGCGGCGACGACGACGACGAGGACGACGACAACGACCACCACCACCACGACGACGACGACGACGCGACGGCGACCCCGTCAAGGCTCCTGCGGCGAGCGGCGAGGACGGCTCCCCGCCCGCCGGCGGCGCCCTGCAGGCCCGCGGAGGGGCGCCGCCGCTCTCCGTGCCGGGGGGGGGGGCGGCCCGGCTCCGCCTGCAGGGAGGGGGGAGGGGCACGGAGGGGAGGAGGGGAGGGAGGGAGGGGAGGGGGGGAGGGCAGGGAAGGGGGGGAGGAGGGGAGGGGGGGGGAGGGGAGGGAGGGAGGGGTGGGATGGGGAAGGGGGGGCGGGAAGGAGGGGGGAGGGATGGGGGATTGGAATGAGCAATAGTTTGTGCAAATATCCGCGCTTACGCTTTCCTCAGCGTCTCAGCTTTGCTGAGAACCCTTGGCCAGAGATCTGCCCAGGCTCGCCGAATGTATTCTCGACTCTTTTTCTCTCTCTCTCTCTCTCTTTCTGTGATTCGCGTTTCCATGGAAGCGGTCCTTATTCCAGACTGCGCGCCGCTGCATCCGCCAACCCGAGGCTAGCCGCCAGGCGTGAATAATCAAGCACAACATACAGAAAACAAAGGCGTGCGCGTAGACACATCAGCATATCGGAACAACTAGTCAACGCCAGGACGGGGTGATACCACGCGGCCCCTTGCTGCAATCGCACAAGACCTTCACCGTGGCGCGGCCCGCGCTCTGCAAGTCCATGACGAGGCAACCTTCGAGGCAATGTAGTCGACGAGCTCAAGTAAGTAGTTCGACGAATTCGTGAGAGCCAAGCACACGACGTATGAAGCTCAGGGATCCCTCCAAGAAGTCTGGCGTGACAGACGGACGGGAAGTGCAAGAAGCCGAGGGCCTCACCCAAACGGATCTGCCACTGGACAGGCGTTTTTCGGTTCCAGGGTGGGGGGAAAGGAGGATCAGGGATCAAGGTTTTCGCACGGTCTGTGCCCTTTTCGGGCGCTCCTGGAAGCGGAGGCCTTCGCGGAACTTCTGGAGATGACGCCGACCTCTCTGGCGATTTGGGACTCAGTCGCCTCCGAGGTTTTGAGGGATCCTCGGCCTCTGGGGGCCGACTCAGGCCCCGTCGTTTTCCAGCATTGGCTCAGCATGAGAGGAGATGTACTCACTCACTCATGCCATACGCCGGAGCGCGTGGGCGAAAGAAGACAAGGCCAGCCGATTCTCACCGCTTTGCGGGAGCGGCGGCACTACGGCGGTCGCATAAAACACAACGTGCGCGGCAGCAGGAGGAGGAACAGGAGGAAGGAGGGAAGACAGCCGGCCAGCAGAGGAGATGCAGGAGCGCGGAAAAATAGGCAGCGGTTTCCTTCGCAGGCGTATCACTCTGCGGAGCTCGGCGCCCTGGCGCGAAGGGCCGAGCGACCCAGAGCGCGGCACACTCTGGCGGCACGGCCCGCCTCGCAGAACATCGCGGGTTTACGGCAGCCCTGCGGAGAGGATCGAGAGGTCCGAGGGCCCGCGTGTGGAGAACGGCTTGGGCGCGCGTGCCGCCACGTCTCCCAGAGCCACACTTGCTCACGGGCCGCCATCCTCCCGGCATCGCTCGGACGTGTGAGGATTCCCTCGGCGAGGACCATCGAGGAGCATCCTGTGAACAATCTGGCAGTAGCACCCCGCAGGTGCGGATAAAAGTGAGGGGGCGGCGGGGACGTCGGCAGTTTGCGAGTCTCTTGTCAGGAGACTCATGGTGGGCAGGGACGGTGGCGTCCATATCTCTCCTAACTCCCTCTATCCACATGAGTGCGGTAACCATCCGCCCGTGCCGTGATCCCCCCAGTCCTCGTATCACACTGATTTCCCTCTCCCTCTCTCTCTCTCTCTTTCTCTCTCCCGCTCCTTCTGCAAGGCTCTCTGGGTTGAAGGCTATCCTCCTCCATCACCTGCGTGAGTGCAGGAAGGGTGGCGAGACGCCGCGACAGAAATCATGTTGGCGCAGATTGGGTTCCGGTATCGGCCTTCACCTTGCACATGCTCGTGTTCCCCCCGACCAGGACCCTGGATCCCTATGGCCATCCATCCAGGGTGGTTGAGTGGAGACAGGGTTAATAACACATAATGCTATCCTGCGGCAGTGGACAGTCGTGCAGGCTTTGGGTATCGTAATCCGTGGCGGATCTGGTAATCCACAGGAGGGCGTTCGGGATTGAAGGCCATCTTCATCCATCATTTTGATTCGTCGTGCTGAAGTAGACCTGGTGGTCCGAGTATCGGCAGGGCGTTCCGGGCTGAAGGCCATGTTCGTCTATCATTTGTGTGAGTGCAGGAGGGTTGGCAATACGCCAGGACAGAAACCATAGTGGCGCAGGTTGGGTGCCGTTTTCGGCTCTCCTCTTGCACTGGCTGGACCCTGACTGCCTGTAACCACTTCGGCTCAGGCATCGCGCCATGGCGGCGATAGCGAACTCCCACGAGCCCTCCCTGGTAACCAAGTTGTCAAAGGCAGCAGAGCTCGACGTGCGCGTGTCGAAGCTGCTCCAGAAGTATGCGGTGGACCCGAGAGTCACACACTAGTTGCGCGAGAAGGGCATGTTGACAGTAGGTCAGTTTGCCAGGTTGGCGGGCTCCTATAGGCCGAGTCCGTCGCGGGCATATGCGTCCCTGCGGGATTGGATGGGAGCAGCCGGCCGTGCCAGCTTGTCAAGGCAACCTGGCAAGAAGCAGAGGTTCTCGTCGCGGGGGAGCTCGACCTCATCCGCAAGGGCAAGAGTGGCGATTGGGACGACCCGATCGACCTAGATGTGCGCGAGAAAAAGACGGCGAGCTTCGCAGGCTACTACCGCATTCCCCTTGCAGCGCACCTCATGGGCAGCGACACGCTGGCGGGCCGCCTGGCCCGCGAGCGCGAGCGGCGCGCACCTACGGCCCACGACTTGCGCAAGGCCCGTGCTTGAACAGCGAAGCCAGGGTCTCGGCCCTGAGCGGCGGCTCTAGTGTTAAGGTCAACGACGACACCTTGGGCTCCTACTCTGCCGTCGGCTTCATGTACAAGCACAGGGTGCTCATGAACACTGTGGCCTTGGCAGCTGCGCCCGATTGGGCGTCAGCGGACTGGTCAGTTTTGCTCGACTACCGCGAGTGGGTCGCCGTCAAGTGGTTCGAACGCAGGAACGATCGGACCCCAGCCGTGGACGCCGTCGCGGAAGCAGGCCGCCAGATGCGGGCCAAGTGGGTCGAGTCGGTTCGCGACGATGGCAAATCGCTTACAGAGGCCGTCCAGACGTGCCGCTCGGAGTGGGCGCCCCTGTTTTCGGAGCTGCACGGCGACCGGTCGATCGTGGCCGGAGACGCGCAACAGCCTGCTGCGAAGGAGAGCCGCGTGGCCCCCCAGCGCGTGGAGTCCTTCGGGAGCGATCAGATCTGCAAGTTCTACAACGACGGCAAATGCAATTACGGGAAGAAGTGCAAGTACTTGCGCATGCGCAACGCAAAGGGCTGCGGCCAGAGCCACCCAGCGCACGAGGGGCACAGGTTGGCGCGAGCCCCCGACCGCCTGAGCCACGCGCCATCCCAGCGAGGTTGACAATAGTGAAGACGATTTCTGGGCCACCAGAGAAGCGTCTGAGAGTGTCAGCTGAGACTCCGCAAGGCGTGGCATCGCAGGGCCCGGTGGGCGCAGTTCCGGCGCCCACGCGGGCTGCCCGCGTGGTGGCGGGGGGATTGCAGCCTCACTGAGCAGGCGGCCTTCCGCTCGTGCCGGAGGGCATGGGGCCTGACGTGTTCTTGCGCCACGTGGCGTCCGCGGTGCACCCCGCGCCGGCGCCGCCGGTCTTGCGCGAGGCCGTCAACGCAGCGCGCCGACGTCAGCCGGCCGAAGCAGACGATTTGGCCGAGAGTCGAGATTTCGGGGTCGGGCGCAAGCCCCGTGCGCGGGGAGAGTTTCGCCCTTGCGCGGCAGGCCTGGGGGCGACGGCGAGGCTGGGGGCGGGGCCTCGCACCGAAAACGCAATTTGATTTCTGGCCCCCGCGGGGTCTCTGGAGGGGCCCGGGGATCTTCCGGCAGGTCCGCGGCGCCAGGCGCCCAGACAGAGGTCTGTCGCGAACAGGGCTCGTGCCTGGGGTTTTCCGGTAGACGCCCACCCCCGCCGGCCACGGCCCGGAAGCGGGGGCGCGACATTTGCAAGGGCCGCCCCCGGAGGTCCGTAAGTGGCCCTTTTCAGGCGTCGGGCCCCCGTCGACATGGGGCGATGCACGTTGTGCGCGAGCTCGCGGGCGCGCACGCTTATGCGCGCGTGCGATTCTTCGCGCGCGCGCATGCCCCTGCGAGGGGGGGCGCGGGCGCGCGCGCAGATCTCGGAGCGGTCGAAAGAGCTCCAGGATCAGAGGCACCCCGGCAGAGTCGCTGTTCCCGGGCGCGAAGAGCGCCATCGGCAACTAGCGCGGGCCGCTGCCCCAGAGGCTCGTGGAAATGGCGAGTCGCCCCGGCGCCGAGAGTTTCAAGTCGCCGTCCGCGGGCCGGCCAGCCCAGGGGCAGATTGAGACTGCAAACGCGTGCGCGGGGGGGCGGTAGCATCGGGGCGCGGCAAGGCGTTCAGTCTGGGCAGGCAACGGGGGCGCCTTCGAAACGGGGCCGGGCCCCAGGCCGCCTCGGCTTCGAGGCCGCCAACAGCCCGACGATCCCATGGCCGGCTGCGAGGTTGGAGGCGGGGCCTTCTCGCGAAATCGAAACACGATTTCCGCCCATCTCCCCCCTGTCCTCCCGGACTCCCATTGCCCCCGTTCCTGGGGCCGCGCAAGCGGGAGATGGGGCGCCCTCTACGCCTGCCGCGATAACGACGAAGAGCTGCGCCCAAACCCCCACCCCCGCGCACGTTGCAGGCGCGCGGCGAGTAGCGGAGAAACCAGCTCGAGCGAATCTAACCGAGTGGATCAGGGAGGCCCCAGATCGAAATGCCTGCGTCGCCGCAGCAATCAAGCCCCCAGGGGGCGCACTGCTCGACAAAAAGGCGCGGGGGGCGCAGGGCTCACAGGGCCAGTGGAAGGCGCGTAACATAGAGGATTTGAATGCGAGCGGGGCCCGCGGGACAGCGCGCACCCACGAGTCGCGCGACCCCGACGGCATGGGCACGGCGCGGGCGGCCGCGGTTCTGCAAGGAGTTTCGGGGCGCGGACGAGCCACTGGCGGGGTTTTCATCGGACTGCAGCGGGACATTCCAGTATAGCCCATTGCCCCCTTCACATATGCCACTCTTGCGGTCTGCCGCGTGGCGCCCTGGCCGCGGAGAACACGTTCCCCCGAGAAGCCCCGGGCCGGTTTCCGGGGGCGTTGGGGCCCTGTTCAATTATGTCAGAGATTATTCGGCGACGCGTTCGGTGATGCGCCACGCTTTCG